ATAATGTATTTCAGTGACTATAATCGTAAAGTAAATAAATAAATGTAAAATTCTATTAATTTTTTTACCTATAATGTTGTTGGCTTTTCAAATTCTTGAGTTATTTTTGGCCCATAACCAGAAACATAAATATTTTCACTAGTATATTTGTCTATCTAAACTGTCTCTTCAACAATGGACTTTTGTTAAAATATCTCCCCTAATTCCCCACTTTTTGTTAGCCCATTATCAACGCCAGGTGCGTGTTCGCTGCCTCGTGTCGAGTTTTTTTTTTGGGTTTTTAATTCCTGACCGTAACTGCTGCTCACCAAATCATTGCGTTTTTAAATTTGACAATTAGACTAATTTCCCTGCCTGTTGCATATGAGAATGTTACAAAAAACTACATAGATTTCAACTCACCCAAAATAAATACCGAAAAGTACACACCAGAGCACACGACAAAAAAATGCAGTCGTCGAGAAACTTCCGGCAATAAAAAATTAATGCAAGAACAAACAAACAAAAAAATACAAGAAAAATTTACAAAATGCAATTGGCCTCCGTTTTAGAAAATTTCACACGATTTTCAAATGCAAATCGCGTTTATACTTCGTTTTTTCTTTTCTATTTTTTTTAGTTGAACGATTTTTAGGCACACCGAATGAGAAGGTAAAAAAAAAACTGAGTAGAAATTAACACTTTATGCGGGCTTTTTTTATGAAGGGCCCAACGTGGATCGATCACACGGAACCGAATGAATGGCAGCCAGCAGGTGAACCGGGCTTTTATAGGCACCCAGATCCAGCCACCAACCCCTTTCGATCCTGGCCAGCTTGGCCCGGATAAGATAACCCGAACATGGTGCGCTGCAGATGTCCCAAATGCCCGCCTAATGGGGATGATAATGGTTGGCAGGAGGAGATTGTCATGTCCATGGAATGGGAGTTCGAGTTGGGGAATGGGGATGGGATCGGGATCGGGGATCGGGGATGGTGATGAGGGCACACTTATCGCGAGCCGCCTGGCGCAATTATGCAAAACAATATGGTGACCCAACTATCGATCCAATAGATAACCGCAGAGATAACCCAGACAGAAAAATCAGGAAAATCATATACCAACATTAATGGAAGGGAACTATATAACAAAAAAGTAAATGACACTAAAACTAGTATACCTTATAAAACATACTACCTCACTATAATACTATAAAATATTAGAAGAGTTAATATGAAGTAAGTAAAATTAAAAAAATTGTAGACCAAAATAAGTTGCAAACAAGAAAATCTTTTAAATACCCTCTAAAAATGGCGAAAAAGTTCCCAACAATGGATCCCAATAGTTAACTTACAGATAATACAGATAACAGTTTTCCATATCGATTTGTCCCATCGCTGACTGTTTAGATTTCGCCTGTCCCGATAAGCACTTTGTATATATTTTATCACTAAATATTAAATGATGCAATTTTCTCATATAATTTATGTTCCTTGTATTCGTTAGGGAAATAATTTTTACATTTTCGATTAGCTAATCAGGTACATGTTTATATGAAACATTATTAACGATGGGCGGACGTACAAATATCAATTTACCAATTAAAAGTGCAACAAATGCAAGGTTTATATAAAATAAACCATATAAAGCAGTCACGTTTAAGAGGATTTAAGCTATTCAGGAATCGGGACACATTAAAAGAAAATATTAAACAAACTGAAATAATTTCACAGCGATTAGGTGGCCAATTTCGAAAGTGCTCTTAGAATTGAATAGTGAACTCAATATGTACTTAAATTTAAATTTATTTTTTAAACTAAATAATCACTACGTAGAATAATATTATAAACGAACCGGGAAACCCAATCGTATATTGAGCTTATTATAATCAGAATTTTTAAAAAATTATCCGAGGCATTCGACTATCAGATACCGGTAATCGGTAGACTATTTTTCAAATTAAATCCATTCCATATGTTTATTGAAATGTAAACTTAAAAAAAAAGATTTTAATAAAGGAGGATCTTAAGGTCCTTAACCTCCGCTGCGCAGGCATCCCAAGTATTTGCATATTAAATCTCTACTCTCTAGATCTTTAATCTTTATAATATTGGAACAGATATGTTAGTATATTGGTACATGTTCATTTCTGACACAGGTACAGTTGTGCTTCAGGGAGCCCTCAAGCCCCCCGCATATCACTAAATAATGGTTAAACCAACCCCGTAACCCTATAGCTTCGTTGGGAATCGCAGGCACTTATGGTTGCGTTTTAGCGACTTGCCTAATCAGAAATAATTCGGTAAATTAAACAAGCAGCCGTCGAATGGAGGGCAGCGATAGGGTTAGCTGCACGCCCAGATAAGGCCAATAGGCATATGCACAGGCACGTGGGGTGATCGAAAGGAGACTAGGGATTTATGACAGCCAGGCAAATACAGCCGAATGTGAAATCAAATAGAAATTTCATAATTTCGTTTTCCATTGCAGCACGGGAAAAAAAGATGCTACATAAGGAATACATAAAATAGATATTATTCATTTTATAATGTCGCCCGAACCAAAGAAGAAGTTTACAAATTCCAGGACTATAAACCAGCTTAAAGAAATATTATTTTGACGTTTGAAGACGAAATTGAAATGATTAAAAATGTTTTCTTTTTATACTCTTGCAAAGGGTAATATAATTTTAAATATAAGTTTGCAACGCAGTGAAAGGGACATTTCCCACCCTATATAGTATACATATTTTAAAGTTTATAAAGTTATAAAGCTATCGTGCGTACCAAATTGTAGATAGTACTTAAGTCCGAGAGATACCGTTGGGACAATATGTATATCCTATAGTCCCGACGGGAACGACCGGATAGTGGGGTCTAACGATAGAAATTTCCAATTCACTTTTATAAAATAGCACGACAGGAAAATAGATATTAATAGCCTCGTAGGAACAATCGGAAAAGTAAAACCAAAGGGCCAAATACTCCTATAGCTTATGACATACAGAACGGAATTCTATCATACATCAAAACCAAAGGACAAATACTCTTATGTCTTAAGACATGCAGAACGGAATTCTCTTATACGTCAATATAAATATTAACTTAACATATGACCAACTAATCATATATACATACATATATATGCAAGGTATATGATTATATCATATGGGCATGCCAAAGTAGCTTCCTTTCTTAGTTAATGGTAATATCGGATAGTGATAAAGATAAAATCAAAATATATACATAATCTTCTCATAAATTCTCTATATAATTATGCTAATTGTTTTCTGCAAAGCCCTTTAAATGTTGCCACTCAGATATCCATGATTTATGCCTGAAAATCTCGTAGTGAAACGGAATTAGGCATATTCTGGCGATCTAAGATCATTCAATTGCATATTATCAGATCATATCGCATCAAGATTTCTTTCTGTGTGGGCCACTCGATGTGGCATCAGGTAAAAATGAGAAGCAGATAAAACTAGGGTAGTGCCGACTCCTAGCTTATCGCAGTTTAAATATTATTTCAGGGATATGTGGCCAAAAGCGAGAGCGAGCTGGGCTTATCGCTGCTTATTTTGAGCGATAAAGCCGGGCAAACACACTCCACGATGGAGTGCAGTGTTTCCTGGAAGTCGGAATGCGGAGTGGGCACCGGAAATGGCCTGGTTGCCAGCTGCAGGTCCCTCTGGCTTCAATCGTCACTTACCGATTGGGTTTTCCCGGGCGAAGATGTGCTGCTGGTGGTTCCTGCCTGCTTGGATTCCTGCTTGTCTCTGGCCACCTCGCGTCGCAGGGCGGCAATCTGTACAGGGGGGATTGGGGAGTGGGGGAATGAAAACTATGAGTGGTGAAGCCCAAAAAGTGCGAGTGCAGACCTACCTCGCGATCCTTCTCCTCGCACCGTCTGTCCAGCTGCTCCTTTTGCTCCTGCGTTTCCGCCAGCAGCTGCAGGGCTGTCTTGGTCTGTTGATCGTCGCCACCGACTCCTCCTGCTCCTGCTCCATGCGCTCCTTCGTACTCCAGATCGCCGGGTCCTGCCGTTTCGGCCAGAACCTCCTGGGCCAAGTTGGTTAGCTGGCCCTTCAGCGTGCTGAGACTGCTGTTCAGCCACGACATCTTCGCTGCTCTCTTCTGGGCGGCGGCGGCGGACGGTGGGCGTGGCTCTGCTGGTCAATTTGGGCTCTTTTCGATCAACTGCGCGGCGATTTTGGGGGAATTTTGCTTGGTTTTTTGGATACTTTTTGCGTGGCAGTGGCACAAACTGCAGCTGATTTTGTTATTGTTATTGTTATTGGCCAGTTATCGATTGGCGATAGGCAAGCTGGCCGATGCCGTGCCAGGCAGAAAGCTGGCTGCTACGGCACCAAGAGCCAAAATTCAAACTTAATTTGTTTGTTTTAAGCGATTTATCAATCCATTACTTATATCCATCAAATTAATCTATCTAATTGGCCTCAAATAAGAATATTGCTTAAAAACCAATTCTAAAAATATGTAAAAATTTAAATATATTTTTGCCTTAACTTTCGTCGATACACTTATGATTAAATCAATTTTCAAATTCCGCCTCTTCAAAAACAGATATTTTAGGATTTCATTTCGATTATTATTATTAATTTGCAATTTTTCTGACCTAAACTAACATAGAGATGAGATTTCTGTGACACATCGAATATGTGTGTCTATTTATATTTGTATATATTTATTTATTTTTTTAATTTGCATTTTTATATGATTTTAAAACACTTTGTGGAGAAAAGTAAATAGTTTTGTGTTACTTTCTATTTGGCTAATCTGTTCTTACCTTGTAGGCAATAGATAATTGAGTAAATATGAGAAGCCTTAAAAAAAAAGACAAATTAAATTTAATTGAAAAAATATGAAAATATAAGATTAAACTTAATTGAACAGTTGAGCATTAGCAAAAAATATTCTTTATTAAACTTTGTACTTTGTTTCGTTTTCTACCATACATCTAAATGAATGTAACCCAAGTTTATGGTGAAAAGAAAGCCATTTCATAAATTCGGTTGCAACGTTTATTTGAAATCAAAGAAACATTTGCTCAACACAAACAAAAAGTGGTTGAGGAGAAACATCTTGACATGACTAATGAGTTGAGTGGGTGGCATGGTATTTACAGCCTGGTTGGGGGCCCGTTCTTCGCCGATCCCCTCTAGAAAGTGCGCGGCTGGGAGCCGAAACCGAGGCCCACGCCGCGCATCGTATGAGTGGCGGCTCGCGCCATCTCGTACTGCTGCTCCATGTTTGAGAACATGCGCTGGCGCTGCTGCACATCAGTGGGCACTTTCACTCCACTTTCGCTCCGTGCTGCAGCTCCTCCCCCACCAGTTCCATCGCCGGCTGCACTGCCGTTGCTGGCCTCTGCATGGTCGTGGCCACCACCACTGGCCTCACCATCTCCGGACGATCCCGCGTTCTTGATGCCCATCAGCCGCATAAACTTCGAGGCCACCTTGCCGTCCGAGTCCTGCGAGAAGTGGGCGTTGCCCCACTTGTTTGCCGAGTCCTCGGCCTTCTTCGAGCCCCACAGAAGCTTACGCTTCTGCTGCTGCTCTGCATAGCGGTTGGCATTGATGATGCCCGGGTTGTAGTAGCTGGGCAGCTGGATGGGGGGTTCTAGTGCAGGAGCTGCTACCGCTGGCGTGCTCAGTTCCAAGGACATCAGCGAGGGTATCTTAGGCGCGTAATTGGGGGTCGGCAGTAGGCCACCGCCTCCTCCACCACCGGCTGCTGCAATGGCTGCAGATGCTGCTGCTATAGCTGTGGAAGCCGACGATCCTCCTACCCCGCTAACGGATTTCCCAAGCAACAGATGAGTTCCGGCCCCGGCTGCAGTGCGAAGCGCCACAGATGGCTCTTCCTTCGGAGATCTGGAGCGACTGCTTGACTCGCGTTCGCGATATTTGCGGGACTGCTGCGGCTGCTGGCGGCGACGTGTGGGTGGCGTGCCCGTGGGCGTGCGGGAACGGGATCGGGAATCTCGGCGACGACGACTGCGGTCATCATAGGAGCGACGCCCTGCTGCATTGATCGCTGCAGTGGCAGCGACGGCTGACGAGGAGGATGAGGAGTTGTTGTGATGATGGTGACGCTCCTTGCCGCTGTGGTGGCGACCGCTCTTCTCCGAACGCCTGCGCTCGCGTTCCTTGTCGCGATCTCGCCCCCTTTCCCGCTCCCGGTCGCGATCCCTTTCTCGCTCCCTGTGGCTGTTGCCGTCTTTGGTACGATGGTGGCGATGATCGCCCTGGAAAACAAAATTCATTAAGATGTTGATTATGTGGGGGTTCCGAAATTACAAAGATTATATCACTATTATTCGATCTTTGAAAGATTTTCCAAAGCTTATTTGTTTTATTTGTAATTGATGTTTAGGTTTTTATATTTCCCTTTCGCATAGACTTATCACGAAAAATAATCTTTTAGAAAAAACATGTATTTGATAGAAAACTTAAATAAAACATAAAAAGAGTATCTGTATGGATTTCTGTTCCCTCAGATTAGATTGCTCGTTATTTAACAAATGTATTAAAGCTTCCTATCTGGAATTAAAACATAACTTTTAAAGTCTGGAAAAAAGTTTAAAGTGGTTGGCAAAGAGAAAGGCTTTTCAGGTTTAACCAATTTATGTATCTTTACAAATAATTTGAGAACAAAATGTTCACATTTTAAAGAACAACAGTTCGTTTTAACTTGATTTAATCACATAGATTATAGCCTTAACATATTTTTTTCTAGAACTGGACAACTGCTTATAAGCGGGTATGGTATATTTATCCAATTGATATATGTTTATGTTCTTTATGAATAACTTGAGAACAACGTTTTTACATTTTAAGGGACAACAGTTCTTGTTAACTTGATTTTATAAAATAGATTTTTAACTTAAGATGTTTCTTTAAAGTACTGGACAATTGTTTATAAGTAGGTATAGGGTATATATAAAAAAATATTTTTTTAAACTATACTTATTTTACAATAAGGTGGTTGGTACAGTTTTGTGGATCTTAAGCTTCTAAGCTATCGACTCACTCACCTTGCTGTGATCCTTGTCGCGTCCTTTGTCGCGACTGCGTTCTGAATCGCGCTTCTCCCGCTCCCGCTCGCGGTCCTTTTCCTTATCCTTATCCCTGTCCCGCTCGCGTTCGCGGTCGCGGTCCCGCTCCCGCTCCCTGTCCTTGTCCCGCTCCTGGCGGTGGCGACTGCTGGGCTGCGGCTCCTGCAACGGGAAGAAACAACCCACCGAGGAGAATTACATTAGAGCGAATCAACGAATCTGCGCTGGCGGCTAAGGATCTGATCTAGGTCTAGATGCTAGATGCTAGATGCTAGATGCTAGATGCTAGATGCTAGATGCTAGGAATGAAAGAGGATGGGCTGTGGGCTGTGGGCTGTGGGCTGGGGGCCACCAGCTGGGGCCCGAGGTCCTTGCCAGGGTATATCCTAGATTGCTTAGAGAGTTGTTAAGTTCTATTTGATCGCTTTTTTTGTATACTCACTTTCGTGCGGCTTGATCTCTCTCTCTTTCTCTTTCTGTTTCGCTTTCGCTTTCTCTCTCTCTCGCCACCAGTGAGTGGGTGTGTGTGTGTGTGAGCGGGCGTGTGTGTGGTGAGTGTGTCCTGAAAAATATTTTTTTTTTTCGTTTTTTTTTTTTGCATTTTTTCGGTGGGGGACGACACACACCCACCACCACAGCCACAAGGTCGCACACAAGACTATATATGCATGTATATAGTCTCTACAAATCTGATCGATTGTCGCATTATCGAAGTAGCTATTGGTTATCGAGCGATTACTACGATCGGGGTATCGTCAATGGTCGTTGGTAAGGTTTTTTGGTTCTTTTTTTCTTTTTTGAAAATGGTTTTTCATTTTGATTCAATTTTGATTTGGTTTGGTTTCGTTTACGTAACAACAACAACAACGATAATAAAATGGTAGAGTTTAGTCATTTAAATATTAATTGGCATATAAAGTTTGTAAACTTAACTAAGCTGGCCAAACAACAACAACAAAGTGTGTAATCGGAAGCAGACCGACGGAAACAGAATTTTGGATTTTCTTTTGTTTGTTTTTTTTGGTTGATAAAAAGCTGGCAGTGGCTAAATTTACACATATTTTTGGGTAGGAGGGTTGGAGCGCATGTCGCCGATCGTTTAGATCGATGTGGGTATATTGAAAATATCAGGAATGCAGGTTGCAGCCGCTGGCAAAGTAATAGCACCATAATGTAACATTTTCTAAAGGAATAGCACCATAATATAATATTTTCTAAGAAAATCTGCATTGGAAGAACACAATAGTCACTTAAATCTTAAGTGGAGTTCAATGCGTGTGTTACATAGATATATCCATGCAAATGTCATATGAACTTTCAACTTAAATTATCTAACTTGAGTAATTTTGTGTGTTCCGGTTCCTTAACAACTTATCTTAAACATTTTATATTGTCTAATAATACCATTTCTGTTAGAAAGATTTGACTGAACATGTCCTGAAGATATTTTATATTCCCCAACTAGTGTAATTTTAAAACTTTAATAACTTCTTGGCTTTGGTTATTACTCTCCTACAGGCATGTCCCTATCTTTTCAATGTCATATAAACTCTGAACTTAAAATGTCATACTTGTGTCATTTTTTGTGTTCCGCTTCCTTAATAACTTATCTTTAGCATTTTATATTTTCTAATAATACTATTTTGAAATATTTGATTGAAGATGGCCTGAAGTTATTTTATATTCCCCTACTACTGTAATTTTAAGACTTTAAAGGCTTCTTGGCTTTGGTTATAGCTCTAGGAATTCTACAGGCATCTCCCCCTTTCATTGAGAACTAAAGAGACATTCCTTGGTTTGAGGAATTGAGAACAAGTCTACATTATTGATTGATATATCCATTGTGATATCCCTATTGTTGGCTTTGACTTTTGACCTCTAAATCATGCAGGTTTAATTATAACCATTTTCCTTCGCCAGAGAAATTGGAACAAGGCTGCATTATTGATTTGATGCGGTGTGTGTGGGTATGCACATGTTTTTATACCCTTGCAGAGGGTATTATGATATTGATCAGAAGATTTTTTACATTTGTTTTGGCCCAATTTAATTACTGTTTTGCCTATTTTGAGCTTTAAAAGGTACTTGGCCTTGATTTTTCGGCCCAAGGAATTGGGAACAAGGCTGCATTATTGATGTGATGCGGTGTGCTATTATTTTGTTTGGGTATGCACATGTTTTTATACCCTTGCACATGGTATTATAATTTTGGTTAGAAGTTTTTTAGGTTGTGATATATGTGATATATTACTTCTCTGCCTAATTTGAACTTTAAAAGGTACTTGACCTTGATATTTTGGCCCAAGGAATTGGGAACAAGCCTGCATTATTGATTTGATGCAGGGTGCCATTACTATTGTTCTGCCCGCCACTGTAAGTGCCGTTGGCACAAGGAAGATCCGCATCCGCTCCAACCCTGGCACACACACACACTATGTGTATATATGGTATAGTAGTATATAGCATATGGTATAAAAGAGAGTATATCGATTTGGTGCAACGGCAATTCTTTACCTCATCCTCATCAATGCGGCCTCTGCTGTTGCTCCTGTGATTCTGCTGCGCCTGCTGCTGCTGCGACGTCGGCAGCGGGGGAGTGGGAGTGTGGTGGCGTCGACGCGTTTTCTCCCTCTCCCTCTCCCGCTCCGACTCCCTGTCCCTTTCCTTTTCCCTGGGACTGTTGTTGTAGTTGTAGTCACTGTTGTTGTTGTTCCTCTGCTTTAGGAAGTTACTAGTGGTTGTTGTTGTTGTTGGTGTCTTAGCATGCGGCTGCTGCTGCAGTTGTTGTTGTTGTTGTGGTGCCTAGGGGAATTTTGCAACTATTCAGAAACAGCAAATTCGCATTATTTTACTAAAGCACTAGGATACTTGAACTAAATAATAGGGTTATTTTCTTTTTTTGGATGATCAGTTATCTATTTTTCAGTCATACGCACTCGCACACACACTCGCGCACACACACGCAGGAGGGCAAAATGAAGAAGAGAAAAAAAAAAAGTGATGGAAATGTGTACACAAAATGCGCTCTAGCGTTGAATACGCATTTTTTTGCATTCTTTTTCAGCTGCCTCCGGCCTTGCCGCCTTGTTATATTTACCCGTATCTGGTAGCCCGCATCCTCCTGGTCGTCCTCGCTACTATAGTTCACCAGGGCTTCCATTGTTTGGTGGCGAAAAAATATTTTTTAGCCCAGTGCGTCCAAAAAATAAGTAATCAATTGATAGGTAGGGGATGTGAAAAATTTAACAACTTCGATACTTTTAGAATAAAAATAAATATTTATATCGTGGTATTTTTTCACTGCTATCGGCTATCGCAGCAAACGTAAGTGCCAGAAACGTAAGAGTCGGGAAACGTAAGAGTTAAAAGAGGGAGATGGCACCTACGTAAGTATCAGTAAAAGAGGGAGAAAAAATCCCAGGGATGTGAAAATATATCAAAATATCTATACATCGATATTTTTGATAAAAATATTTATATCGTGACATTTTTCTCCTGATATATCGCTACTATCGCTGTTTTTTGAGCCGCTGTCACGTAAGTGCCAGAAAACGTAGTCAGCAAACGTAAGATGTCAAGGGATGCATCGATGTTTTGAAAAACATCAGGGATGTTTTCAATTTTTTTGAAAGCCCGCTAGTCTTATTAGGATGTTTACGATTATCTAAACTTTTTTCAACAACGGTTTATTTTCTGTATTGTATTAGTTGTTTTTATTCGTAACCTATGCCCATTCTATTTTCTCTACTCACTCATTTTGTTATTTATTTTCAACATTAAATAATTACAAAATATGAGGCGAGTATAAAACTAACCGGCTTATTTCGATTTTTCTTTCACGATTTAATCCCTTTCTCTCTCAGACTTCCAGATTTTTAAATGGGGTTGGCAGGGCCACATAAGATGGGGAAATGATGATAAAATGGGAAACTTGATCCGTTTTTGGGTTCCACCCAGATGGTCCAAGAAGTATATATGCACATATCCACACCAAAACCATGATGAATTGCATTTAAGTTGTACTAAACTTTTAAAAATTCTGAGAGTAGGTTCCAAAAAAATTCCAAGACTCCCAAAACTCCTAGAATTCCTGACACGAATATAAGAAACTTGAAGCCATAATTCCATCTTCAAAAAGAAAGATTTGAAAATTCCCAACGATGAAAATAAAAGAAATAATATAAAGAAATAATTATACACCTTTGGTTAGATTTGCTAATAACTTTATATGTATACCAAAAGGTATTTCTATAATTCGCCATGCATTTATAATTAACACGTTTCTTTATTGCTTATTTGATTATATTTCTTCCGCTTTTTATATTTATACATACACCCTTTTCCAAACTTCATATTTATCTCGTGCAGATTTTTTAATATACATACATATTTAAAGAAAGCAAGAATGAATGAACATAGAATTTAATGAATTGAATTAAATTGAATTGAAGTGCCAGGGACCCACCAAGGATAAGGGCCAGAGAAGCCCAACACCATTCATCAACCACGCATAATCCACCGCTGCCACCTAACGCCATCAGTGAGGGAACTTGTGTGAATGATGCCTAAAGGTTATCGACTACTTGGGCAAGGGCCAGCTACCCAAGGCACAAAGTGTGGTCCACCACACCAAGGAATAATATTAATATGGCTAAGAAGTGCCCCAACTTCTTGGACGAGGAAGGCACTGAAGACGGCGGTCAAAGGATCCAGGTTCATGACATTCGATATTGCAAATACAGAATGTCAAGGATCTGACTCCGGAATGCGTCTTCAGTGTCATCCCCATCCAATTTGAAAGAGGAAATAATTGCCATATTACTATTACCCTTGGCGGTGATCACAGTTCGTGGCTCAAGCCCCTGGCCCTTGGCCGAGCAGTCTATAATCTTCTGGCACAACCCGCACATGTTCCTACTGATGGCGTTAGGTCGCAGTGGCAGATTGTGCGTGGTGGACGAATGGTGCAGGACATCTCTGACCTCTCCTCCTTGGATGGGACTTTCAGGATGCTGAATATGGAGCAGACACCATTTTTCAGCAAGTAATCGCAGGCTGGGAACTCGGCGGGCACTTAGACATCGGTGGTTCCATGGCCCTGATGTCCTCCAGATCTGCAACAACACAAGTTGGTAAGTAAAAAACTTAATAAAAGTAAAAACTTAAAAAGTTAATAAATAAATAAAAGAAGAAGGAATGCAAGTCGAATTTAAATTTTAAATTATAATTAAAATAAAATACCAGATCATTTTTATAGGCGTGGGACACACTATTGCTTTTAGACTCACGCCACCTAGCGGTGGTAGCGGTACCACTGACAACGCTAAAACCTGGTTAACTTGGATAATCATAAAAAAATATAAAATATTAATGCGGTTGTTACGATTATCAGCATTTAAAAAGGTATTGAAAAGTGAAATCAATTTCAATCAATTTTAATTTACACTGAAACAAAATTAAAAAAAAAATACGGGTGGCAGATAGACTTTTAGCATTATGGCTGATAAGAAGATCTGCCTAAGAAACCCACTTTTATAGTTTCCGAGACAAGATTTTGACCAAAATTATAATACCCTCTGTAACTACACTCTAGGTAGCAGGACCCTTGAGAAGATTTCTCTCACCTTGTGACTTCTGGGCGTCCATTAACATGCGTTTCATGTGGTTCTCACTATCGTCCACCTTTCGTTTGGCCTGCTGCACCTGGGAGACTCGTTGGCCATAGGACTCATGGCGTTCCATCCTGTTGTTGCGTTTTATCACGACTGCATCCTTGGCTCCTGAGTTGTAGGATCCCCGCTCTTGAGTGGACATTACCTATAAGAGCCATGTTTAGTTCCACAGATCGAAGTGAGTGCGGAATCATATCAGGCAGAACCTACCTTCCATATCACGCCGCAGTGCGCCACAGCCTGCTCTATGGCCATTTCAAGATCCTCGAACTTATTATTCTTCCACTCCGTTACGAACCGCATAAGAGCATTATGTTTCTCAGGGGGAATCCTTAAAACCAAAACAATAAATTAATTTAAGTCGCATGTAGCTGTGTTGCGAATAAAATAACTTGTATAATGCCTGCCCAAAATGACTGTCAAAAACTACACTTACAAAAAAATTTTATAAGGGTTTATAGAAAAATGTTTATAATGCCAAGGGCGAATCATCTTTGGTCCCTTTTCTTCAGGGCTATTTTAGGGAAAAATTTCTATGATGACTGTCCAGAATGACTGTCAAAAATTACACTCGGAAATAATTTTATAAATATTAGAGTAAATTCAAGCAGTATTTCACCAAAGCTAGAGGATTATAGAAAAATGTTTATAATGCCAAGGGCGAATCGTCTTTGGGCCCTTTTCTTAAGGCGAAGTCTTTTTTTTAGGGTTAAATTTATATGATGACTGTCAAAAAATTCACTCAGAAAATTTTTTATAAATTTTACAAAAAATTCAACCAAAATTTGACCAAATATACAAAAAAGCTTATAATGCCAAGGGCGATTCGTTTTAATCACTCTTGTACGAGTGAAAATTCTTTTTGTTTTAATTTAATGCGCCATGTTCGACAATAAATAATAAATTCTGTATTAAATATTTGGAAATAACCTGACGCACCTGCTTTGGATGGAAGTAAGTCGGTCCTCCGGCCAGCTGGTGAACAGCCGGTGGATAGATTTATGGTGGATGGATAGCCGGATGGATAGATGAACGGTTGCGGGACGTAAATGGTCGATCCGCAGGACAGGCTGCTTTCCTGGCTGCTCTGCGAGTTCGATTTTTTCGGGCCCAGCAGGTCCTGGGGACGGCGATTACGATTACCTGCGACGGGAAAGAAATCCAAATTCAGCATTACAAATTTAAGATATGCTCTAATTTTGTACACACTGCACACACTTTTTTTTATTATTATTAGACCGATATAGAATATTCACTTTAAATTGGATTACACGCTTTGCAAGGCATTCTTTAATTTGAATTTGTCGGTTCCTGCGAGAAATTTGTGAAATGACTTGCAACTCTTGAGAGAAAGAAAGGGAGAGAAATATTACTTCTGAAATTCACCAATTTCGCTCTTCACACGATTATTTTGTCGTATTTTGTCGGTTCCTGCAAGTTGTGAAATGACTTGCAACTATTAAGAGAAAGAGAAAGCTATATGTTGAAAAAATAAAATTGAAAATATGACTTCTGAAATTCGCCAATTACACACTTATCACGATTAGAGTTTTATTATTGAATTTTTAATTTTATTTTGTACGCAGGATAGTTACTTTTGAACAATTTACTTGCATGCTGCTTAAGGGAAACACGCGCAATCTGTCACAAATGCTTTACCAACACTCTAGCTAAAAGAGCGAGATGGTTATATGTAGAAAAGAGGGAGAAAGAAAAAATCCCGGCCGAAAAATTCGCCAATGACATTTTATTGAGAACGTGGTGCTGTTTTCTCCAGGAAATTAGAAGAATGTGCAACAAAGCTAGTGCTAAAAGAGCGAGATGGTTATAGAAAAGAGGGAGAAAAAAAAAATCCCTGCCGAAAAATTCGCTAATGACGTTTTGAAAGAACATGGTGTTTTCTCCAGGAAATTAGAAGAATGTGCAACAAAGCTAGTGATAAAAGAGCGAGATGGTTATACAAAAGAGGGAGAACGAAAAAATCCCGGCTGAAAAGTTCCCCAATAATATTTTAACAGAACGTGGAGTTGTCTCCAGGAAATTAGAAAAATGAGCGAAAAGAGATAGTAACTGGATGGCATTTGTTATGGCTAGCAATTCCACGGTCAGCAAATCGAACTGCCCCCCAAACAAATTCCCCCAGTATTATTTTCTGAATGCACCATTTGTTTATACTCGTGCGATTTGTTTATGACGCCAGACATTTGAGCTCAGGTTGATTTGAGCTTACAATAATTGACTCAGGCTCGGGTTGATTTTATTGTAAAATAATTGACTCAGGATCAGATTGATTTGATTATAAAATGATTTACTTACCGGTGGATTCTTGTTTTGTGTTGGCCTTGTACTAGCTGAAGATAATTTGAGTTTAAAAAAAAGCAGGTGCAAATTTAATCACTTCACTCCCGACTGGGTTCTTATGTACTGCACTCCGAAAACTTTTCACCGGACTGAACGCTTTTCCGGAAACGGAAACCAACTGCCTGCCCAGTGATGAGCCGCAAGTTGACATTGAGGCATCGATAACAAGGATAATCCGATATCGGTGCTATCGATGCTATCCCAGCCTAGGGATCGAATCTTTTCCCCTCCCTAAAACCACGCTAGTTTTAAATAAATGTAAATAATTCGTTGGAAGTACTTGGGGTTGGGAGCTGAAGTTGTGCAAAGGGTTTATTTTACCTTGGAATCCAATAAGAGGACGAAATTCCCTTAAACTGGCGCGCATGCGCAGAACGAATTTGTGTCCATGAATTCAAAACGGTACTTTGAAAAAAGCGCTGCAACTAGAGATGGACAATATCAATTGAATTTGTGTGGAACAGCTGACGGAAATTCATGGACTCGGCCATTTTAACTCTTTAGTTAATACCCTAATTTAGGGTATGTACAGATTGGCCAAAGCAACTCTGTTTTTTCAAATTATCTAAAAATAAGATAAGTTGGTTAACAACGGAGTCATGGTAGGAATTTAAAAAAAAATACCTAATTAATATTTTCGTTCCCAACATATTATTTTTTAACACTACTGTTTACTAGACAAATTCTAGAAAGTTCATTAGTGAAACGACATATTTATTTATTTCGGAAAGCTATTACATTTTTTGTAATAAATAAATAATGTTTTGTGTAATTATATTATTGAAAAATGTAGAGGCAATTTAAAATTGTATTATTTATCACATATTTAATGTTACAAATTTGACACCAACAAAATTGTTTAGTATTCGATTTCGTTTGGTAATTCATAAGCATTTGGTAAGACTTAGGAGTAGTACTTTTAACTACTTTTACAAACCCTTGTACAAATGAGGTATCGTGTTTATGTTCATTAATATATATTTAATAGTTTTTTTGGTATTTTTTTGAAAGTGAGTTCTTTTCTTGAACCTAAATTGGGCTTTAGATAAGTACTATTCTTCTTTTCAGTTGTTATATATCTTTACTTCATGCGTAAAAAAAATGGTTTTTTTCATACAACAATCAAATACAAATTTTATAAAGATAATACATTTGATTCTCCTTGCTGTAGTGGTTATTTAAATTTTTGGGCCCTTCTTCGAAGGCGCTGGAAGCGGTGGGAAGTTTGAAATATTAACGGTGAGATCAACGTCGTTTGTGGAGGGGACGTTATTTGGCCCACTTGGTCCACTAACAGCCTTTTTCACCAATGCCGCTGAAGATGAAGCACGAATTTTCACCAGTCGACGGCTTGTTTCCATATTCATCGTAGTCTGCGGAAAAATAAAAGGGGAATTACTTCTTGGAACAAGGCATACTCAAAATGTCCCCTAATTTCATACGTTGGTCTAAGTTAAAAAAATTATAATTTCAAATAAAATTATCTAACTAAATATAGGTTTGTAAAATGTTACTAAAATGTTATAGCCTTCTTCTTGATTTCATTTCTTGTCTAATGACTTAAAAAAAAACCTATCTACAATTTTGAAGTAGTCAGTCGAAATAATGTCCTTACTTGAACCCATAGCACCTGGACTTGCCTTACGTGTGTCCTCTGCTTCTACCTGACCCGATTCTCCTGGACGAGATCCTTCTTCTCCAGGTCCAGATTTTGGCATTGGCTGTGGAAAAAGCAAAGCAGAGATTAGACTTGTGGAATACTTATGAAGTGACAAGAAAACAAGCTCTTAAGTCATTTGATTTTTACTTTCATAACATTAATTTTGAAAGATCTGAGCAAAGAAGGTCATGTGAAAGTACATATTAGTTTAAAATTAGCTTGGAACTGCTTTAGTATTTGCCATTTTTACACCAGAAAACTACTTTGGTAAAGCTGGAGAATTGGAAATGTTCCCGGGTTTCTATAAGTTAAGCTCTTTATAAAGTTAATGGGCAATATCTACAAATTATGTGTTACATTTTTTGGAAATACCTGACGCACCTGCTTTGGATGGGCGTTAGTAGCTCTTCCGGTCAGCTGGTGGGCAGCCGATGAATAAGCGAATGGCTGTGGGTAAGCCGATGGATAGATGAATGGCTGATAAGCAGCCGATGGATAGATGTATGGCTGATAGGCAGATGATGGATAGAAGTATGGTTGAGGTATACCCGCTGGATAGATGTATGACTGAGGGATACCCGATGGATAGATGAACGGCTGTGGGACCTGGCGATAATGGCCAAAAGCCGGAGGAGTCGGCTGGCTTCCCTTGAAGCTTCTGCCCATGGGAGTGTCGAAGAACGCCTCACCGTGGAGGGCGTACATTTGGGCTGCGTAGATCTCGGTCGGCGAGAGATTTTCCAGGAACATCTCCGACTTGGCCATGGAGTTAATATAATTGGCATTGTCCCACCAGTTCTCATTGTTGGTTGGGGGATCCTGGTTTTGCTGGGCTCCCGATGCCGGCTGTGGCCAGTAGGTTGGCCAGTAGGTTGGCCAGTAGGTTGGCCAGTAGGTGGGCCAGTAGGGTTGCCAGTAGCCAACTTGCATTGGCTGACCTCGAATCCAAAGTCCCGGAACGTAGACAACAGTCGGTGGAACCAATATGGGGTTTCCATTGGCATACGATTGGGCTCTATTGGGACCCTGCTTTGGCGGAATAACATTCCGACGGTTGAAGGGAGATTGTAGAAGCTCGGAACGATCGACGCTCCAAATGGTTTTGCCCAGCAAAAGACCGTTCTTGTTGCTCTCCCAAAGCAACTTGGTAGTCTCCACCAGCAGGACAAGCTTGGCCACCTCCTCGTTGTACACCTTCTCCAGATAGGCCCTCTCCTTAGCCCGCATAAGCATTTCGTACCCAATGGGTTTTAGCTCGTACTTGACAAAAATATCCTCATGGGACTCATCGGAATCGGCTGTGTCAATAAAGGACATCCCATAGGGGTTGCTCCAAAAAGATGGCAACGGAAAGCCATCGGCATCCAGTTCAATCTCCAGTTCTTCGGCTTGCATCAGGGGACCGAGATCCATTTGGCCGCACAGAACTGAGGTGCGCGACACTGGTTTTTGATTGGAGATCGGACAAACCGGCATATCGGGATCCTCGCCGAGATCAATAGGCGGCGCGATCGGTGGGCTGACTACGCGCCATGCCGAGGTGGAGCAGCGAGCATTCCGTGAATTCCCATTCCTGGGCGGAGAGTGCTTCACTACCTTTGAGAATAGGAAGCTGGCCAGTGTGATGCTGTGTGCGTTCTGGAAATGATACATCGATTCACGCAGGCAGCCCTTCTTCAGCTCGCCGGAGGAGTTGCTTCTTCCGCTGGAGCTGGAGTATCTAGTCATGGTCGAACCGCTGGACAGACTATTGATGCTACTCTGCGAGTTCGACTTTTTCGGGCCCTGCAAGTGCTGGGGACGGCGATTACGATTACCTGCGACGGGAAAGAAATCCAAATTCAGCATTAAAATGTAAAATATGTTGTCCTTTTGGAAAAAAAAAATACATCTATACTCGGCTTAATCACCTTTTACAAACACTTTTTTAAAACCATGGTTTAAATTTCTTAATAAATAAGGTTTTCAGCAATAATATAAGGATATGTAAATCCAAGAGTATCGGGGAGAGCTTAAAAGCAAAAAAAAATGTGTCCTATAAAAAATATATTCATACATACACAAACGTAAAGAAACAAATGTAAGGATTATTTTTATTTTTGTTGGTTTTCTGGTGAAAAGTTGTGAAAAGACTTGCGAATCATGAAAGAAAGAGACAGCTATACATTGAAAAAGTAAAAGAGAAAATATGACTTCTGAAATTCGCCAATTACACACTTGTCACGATTACACTTCCTTGAACATTAGAAATTTATATTTGATTTCTTACTTTTATTTTGGCCGCAGAATAATTACCTTTTAAATATTTAACTTGCTTGGTGCTTAAAGGAATAATTTGCACCAATGCATTTTTTTGTCGCATTCTGTCACAAACATGCTTTACCAACACTAGTGCTAGCAAGAGCGAGATGGTTATAGAAAAGAGGGAGAAAGAAAAAATCCCGGCGGAAAAATTCGCCAATGACATTTTGAAAGAACGTGGTGTTTTCTCCAGGAAATTAGAAGAATGTGCGAAAAGAGATAGAAACTGGACTGCATTTGTTATGGATAGCAATTCCACGGTCAGCAAATCGAACTGCCCCCCAAACAAATTCCCCCAGTATTATGTTCTGATTGGGTCATTTGTTTATACATATACGCGCGATTTGTTTATGACGCCGGACATTTGAGCTCAATTTGAATGGTTGAGATAATGAATGACTTACCGGTGGCCGGTGATTTTTCTTGATTTTTGTATGTACCAGAAACCTGAAGATAATTTCGGTTCGTGAAAACAAAAAAACAGGTGCAAGGGTAATCACTTTACTTACGGTTGAATTCTTCAGGCTTTTTTTGGATTTGCCTTTCTTCGGAACTTTGTTCGGTTTCTCCGAATTAGAGCTATTCTCATCGCTGCTGCTCGCAGTCGAAGGCCTGTTTGAAAACTGGACACCGTTCTGTCGCTTTCTTTGGCGCTTGCTAACGTACTTCATTTTTCACACTTGCTCCGCAAACTTTTCACTTGCCGGTCTGAACGCTTTTCCGGAAACGGAAATGATGAACTCCAGTGATGAACTGCAAGGTGACAATGCAGCATCGATACGTAGGATAATCCGTTATCGATGCTTTGATTAGACGCCAAGCGTAGGGATCGAATCTTTTCCCCTCCCTAAAACCACGCTAGTTTTGAATAAATTTGAATAATTCCTCGGAAATGCATAAGATTAGGATCTGGTGTTATCCGAGGGGTATATTTTATCTTAAAATCCAAGGAGGGGACAAAATTCCCTGAAACTGGTGCGCATGCGCAGAGGGAATTTGTTTCCAAGAATTCAAAACGGTACTTTGAAAAAAGCGCTGCAGCTAGAGATGGACCTTTTGCGATGTTGACTTTTGTTAATATCTTTGTTTTCTATATGTTAAGGGTTTAATTAAATGCTCCCGTGTTAAAAAATTGCTTACGTTGGGTATTTAAAAGGAATCAAGTGAACTATTTAAAAATCATATCGCCTATTTAAAAGTTTTGAAATGAAAAATTTTGCGGGGAAAAACTTATTGATAACCCTGTTTGATAATTATTATTAATAATGTGCTAGTGTAATACTTTAACAAATTTATATATAATGCAGAAACCCTTCTATAGGCATATTTTACTTGCAGAATGCAAAATTATTACTTTGGGTCATTTTTGTGTAGTTTAATATCTAGTGAAGGGAGCTTGGCATCGTTTCCAAAAATATATCGATACTCGAGTACATGGGCGTCAATCGAGTATTTCCCCCTAAAAAGATCTGGGCACCCTGCACGAAAAGCGCGAAATTGGTTTTGCTTCTCCTTTTCGATTTGCTCGTCGATCTTTGCGGATCTTCCTCTCAAATTCTGGCCGAGATCGATCTATTGGCAAGGAAGCGTCCACCATGTCGGAGAGCGACGACTACTTGTACGCCCTGATGATAATGCAGGAGCAGATGAACGAAGAGAGCCAGCAAAATAATTCCGCCGCACCTGCGGAGAAAAACAAAGTACGTAGTTGTTTATAAGAATGGTCTGGTCCAAGAATTAGGCTAATCCCTTCTCACGACCTTGCAGGACTCGGACTACGAGCTGGCCCTCAAGATACAGGCCCTCTTGGACTCGGAGAATGACCCCGCGGAGGGTGACGGAACCAGCGACCTGGACACCAGTCTCCAGTTCGTCTATCCCTCAAATCAGAATCAGCCCAAATCGGTGAGTGCCCTGGAATTCCATTCAGCCAAGACCCCAGTGTCAACAGCTACGTATATACCATTCGTTAATAAATTCCCAATACAAGCAGAACACCATGGCCAACAAAAAGACTACAAAGGGAGGAGATGCCTCAAAGAAGCCACCAGTGCGCGCCATTCAGGCCAGCCACGATGACTATCTCAACCAGACGCAGAATCTGGTGCATCCGCAGTGGGAGCTGGTCGATCCCAGTCCGGACATCTACTCCATGTTCATGCGCTTCGACGAGAAGTTCTTCCAGCAGCGCCTGGGCGCCGTCGCCCTCGAATGGAGCAAGCGGATGTACTCGTGCGCTGGCATCTGCTACCAGCGGGGCAATCGGTTCGTCAAGGAGGTGACCATCCGGTTGAGCGAGCCGCTGCTCAAGTTGCGTCCGCGCAAGGATCTCGTTGAGACGCTGCTGGTGAGGATTAACCTACTAATTCTCGCCTCTAAAAGCATTTAACATAATTTATATGCAAGCTGTATAGTTACATACCTATCTTCCGTACCATATCGTATACTAAATTATACTTTCCCCTCTGTCCAGCACGAGATGATCCATGCCTACTGCTTTGTGCTCAACATCCGCGAGGGCAACGGTGGTCATGGGCCCAACTTCAAGCGCATCATGGAGACTATCAACAAGGTGGCGGGCACAAACATCACCGTTTACCACTCGTTCCACGACGAGGTGGAGGCCTATCGCACCCACATTTGGCGCTGCACAGGCATTTGCCAGCACCGCACGCCCTTCCAGGGCTATGTGAAGCGGACCAGCAACCGCGCACCTGGGCCCAATGACCAGTGGTGGGCGAAGCACCAGCGCGAATGCGGCGGCACCTTCATGAAGCTGGGTGAGCCATCGAAGCCTCCCAAGCCGGAGCCCAAGTCCAGATCCAAGAAGGCTCCCAAGCCAGAGGCTGATCCCAAGAATGACATACGTAACTGGATGGGAAAGCCGGCAGCCAAGCCAGCCACAGACACAAATTGGATGGGAAAGCCAGCAGCCAAGAAGCCAGCCACAGACGCAGCTTTGCTGGGCAATCTGGTGGGCGCCGTGCCACCGACTTCCTATCCGGGTCTCTCATCCGATCCCTTTGTCATGCCCAAGCCACCAGCTGCAACTAAGCCCCGTGGAGCAAACATCATGAGCTTCGGCGACCTCAACACAAGTGGCGAAGAGAATGCATCCACAGGTTCAGGTTCACGTTCGAAAGCCACCACTGAGATGAGCGGACAGGGTTACAGCATTGGTGGAACAGCCTCTGCGGAAGTCATTGATATTACCGACGATAATAATCCTAATCCCTCTCGACTCCGTCAAATTCGTCTTGAGCGATTTGGAAAAGGTAGTTCCACAAAGGAGGAGGATACATCCCAGCCAAAAAATGGCCAAAAGAGACGCCGTGTCTCAAGTGATACAGAAATTGTTAGCTGGGAATCGTACGACGATGATGTGATGGTGGCAGACGTGGCCGTGCCCACCATAGACCTAGCCGATAGCGATAGCGATAGCGATGGAGAGCAGCCGGCGAACGACCAGTCCATGATGCCAGGTGGTAGAAACACCATGAGCAGTCATGAGCGCACGCAGAGCATCAAGCGCGAGGTGTTCGAGGACGAATCGATCTATTCCGAGGAGGATATCCTATTCATTGATGACGAATACGATGATGAGGAGGCTGCCACCAATGACAGTCTCACAGCGGCCACGGAGCTGGCCGATCAGTCCATTATCGACGACATCTTCGGCGAGGACACTCTGCTGCAGGAGTTCCAGCGCGAGAACGCTGTGCAGCCCAGTTGCTCCAGATACTCCAGCAATGTGGACAACGACATCGTCTCCTGTCCCATTTGCTTTGAGAAGATGAAGCGTACGCAGCTGGAAAATCACTTCGAGGGCTGCACCATCACAGTGCGCGTGGAGCCGCCATCGTTTAAGCCGAAAGGCGGGCGGCCAAATACCTCCCGGGACTTGGACAGCAGTGCCTCCACCTCGAGACCTTCCACTTCGCGCGGCCCCAAGAAGAAGTCGCAATCTTCTTCAAAGCAACTTCTTCGCAACTCCGGATACACTGACAAGGAGATCGCCGAGCTAAACCTGAGCTCTTCCAGCGATTCAACCACTGTGCTATCTAGTGAGGATGAACTCACTCCCCGTCAGCGCCGTCAGCGCAATCTCTTCAAACAGACTGTGTGCTGCCCCAAATGCGGCCAGGAGCTGATGGGCCACCAGCTGGAGGCGCACCGCTCCCTTTGCCAGGCCAAGAAGAAGCGCTAGGACTGCACTCCTTGCACCAGCCAAATACTGAAGCTAGCCATTCCGTTATTTATATTATTTTATATCCATTAATGTTTCAAGTTGGATTTTCATTTATTGTTCTGTGAATAAAAAGAAAAGTGTTATAAGATGCGCCCGAAATATCGCAGGTTCTTTTTGTCCGCGTAGCGTGTGGCCAACGCCGGCCAGTGGACCACAAAGAGATCGGCCAGCGGAAGGAGCAGGCGCCCGCTCAATGAGAGCGTCTCCACGCGACAGAAGCTCTCCACAAACACGATCCTGGAGTGCGAGGGCAGGCGTCCAAGGAGGCGCCACAAGTAGGCAGCGTAGCAGAAGGGCACGCAGGTGCCGGGTCCATTGCAGAGGATCAGCTGGGGACGATCTCGCCACACCAGGTAGCAGCTCCACAGGAGTGCCCACAGGCTGGTGAAGATAGTGCTCAGCCAGGATTGACCCACGCTGCGGCTGCGCGGCACCTTCACGAATTCCGCCTGGGACTCCAGGGGCAGCGCCTGCCTGAACTGGCGCTCGGAAGTGGAGTCGCTGCTGGCCAGGATCAGGCGAAGGGGTTGGTACTTCTCCACCTGTTGACTGTTCTGCTGCTTCAGCAGCGCCTGGGTCAGCCGGCACATCTCGGCCGTGTGGCCGCCGGAGCCCAGGATCACGTAGGTGGGATGCGGCGCACTGGTGGTCATGATCCCCTCCTGAAATTGAATTCCAATAGATAACTTTGTTTACATTTCAACTCGATATCAATTTATCGATTTCCGTGTTGTTGAAAGTGGGTCCAATTTAAATTTATATATTTGCCACAGAGTGGAGCAAAAGAAAACAAGTAGTGGGAGCACCCGTTTGTTTGGAATGCACCCCGGTGGTCATGGTCTCCTCCAGAAATGTATTTCGTATACAAAAAAACCCCCTATATCGATATCAATTTAGCTGGTGAGCCAGTGCTATCGATTACACCACCGATAAATATGTGAACCGCTTATTATTGCAAGGAGAGCGCCATACTTCCTTATTTTTCTTTTGAGCGCAAAACGGAACGAAATGGCGACTGCCGTGGAAGGGGACGAGCCGCTGGATTGCGAAGACCTGACCGGAGCGGAGATCAACGTCCTTGTGGCCGAGGGTGTGAGGAAACTGGTCAGAAACCTGTCGGCGCCAGAGGTGAGTTCGAAAACAGATGGAATCCTCAGTCCATTTTATCCGGGCATTATCGCAGTCCAGCCAGCGGGAGCTGCACAGAAAGGAACAGTTGGTCGCGAAGATGTTCGTCGAGCACCGCGGGACCTGGCGCACCAATGGGCACGAGGTGAGGCGCAGATTGGACGATCTGGTGGAGCGCTTTCGGGTGGAGGGCATGGCCCCTTTTGGAAAAACGTTCAGAGAGCTGGTCATTAAATTACTGGCGCGGCCGGAAATCAAACGTAGTCCCACTCCCGAATTGGCATGGACAATGCTGGACTTTCTTCTCATCATGTCCAGCGAACCGGTGCAGGACATCCGTCTCAACCGGGTGACAAGAAACCGAAGCCGACTATCCATGATCCCAGGTATTGAGGCGTCCGAGAAGGAGCAGAAGGAACGGAAGGCGGCCATCGACCGGCCACCCATCAATCCCGCCGAAACGGAGGTGGACTGGACAGCACTGCTGAGCGAGGACTTCCTGGAACCACCAGAGGACGACAGCTTAAGTGTGAGCATCTTTGGAACTCTATGCATCCATTATCCCTATCACATCATACTAGTTTAAGTCTCTTTAAACTATTCTTAAATATGATGCTTAATAGCATTTCTAAACTGTGTTGTGATAGTGTTTTCAATTACCTTATAGATACTTAAAATAATAAGAGGAATATTTTTAAATTGTTTTATGTTCGAGATGTAATGAATTTTTGTCCCATTTTAAGATATTTAAAGTTATAAGTTCACAAAGATACCTTTATATGCGGCAATACTATTATAACACAGCTTTATTAAAAAAAAGGTTTACTACAGCAATTTAATTTTAAGTAAACCCACGTGTAAATTTATATTTTTAGTTTACCATGTTACTTTTAAGAAACTAACTAACCTTTCTTCTTTCCAAAGGACTGGTCGGATGAGTCGGATTCCGACTCGACGTGTACTTTGCTGCCCGGTGAGAATGTGGGCACCTCGCGCAGCCTGCTGGACATGGCCAATATCTATGATCAGGCCATGCAAGTGGCCGTTCCGGATAGAAGTGGAAACACCGGCTACCTGCCGCCGGGCTTCGACCAGCGTGGCATCCGGAGCAACGACTTCAGCATCGCCCAGCCGCTGCCACTGAGCCTCCTCAATTATCAGGGCAGTCATCTGAGAATGAGTAGAGTGGTTCAGTTGGCGCCACTCAAACCGCCGGGCATAGCCACCCAATACCGTGTAAGTGATCGAAATACGAACGTGCTGTCGCGGACAATCCACGCCCACTGGTGGCACGAGAACGTTAAGGTTTTTGCCCTGCCCTCGAATTCGAATCCAATGGCCAACTTTGCCGTCGGCTACGTGCAGCTCTTGAATCGCAATGCCTGTGGTTTGTTGGAGCTGCCACTGCCCAAAACCACCACCGAGTCCTGCCTGATGAGGGAGATCCTGTTCATGTTTGTGCGTCCAGCCAGCTGTTGCTTCTTCGAGTTCGATGAGCAGACGAGGCGCATCAATGTCCGCAGTAATGTCAGTATTTGCACTGTGACAGCGGTAAGAATGGGAAATTGTGTTGTGATGATTGTGACTATAATAATCTAATATTTCCAGGGTACGCTTCAGGGTTTCCTGCAACATAATCTGGTCCCAGCGCTGGAGGACATGATGGAGCTGCGGCGCACCATCGACACCCATACGTTGCACTTTGATGGCATCCGCACAACGGGTACCTTGGAGTGCTTTGCCTACGGCCTGAGAGATCTTATCCAGCCCATTTGCCAGCTGCTCATCGCATACGAGGAGCGAGTCGTTAGAAATCCCGCTAAGAATACGCTGGTCTGTTTCATAATGGAATTCAGAGTGCACTTTCGACAGCTGCGTTTGTTGCGTCACCTTGCCGAAGATGTCATCCTAAATATGGGACCTCCCCACCTGCGCAGCGCCTATTTGCTATCCAGACTCTATAGGCATACAACGCCGCAGGTGATGCACCAGAAGTTGGCCACTGCCCTGCTGCTGGTCACCCTGAAGCGCTACTGCAACATCATCGACGGCTGGTGGCGCAGGGCCACGCTGGAGGATCGCCTGAACGAGTTCATTGTCGAGAGATGGTGAATAAAGGCCTAGAACTTTGACTAGCTTATATTATAACTATTTTGCTTTGCAGCGTCGAGGATGACGCGGATCGGCGTGGCTATGTGCGCAAGCGCTCTGTGGACTTAGATGAAAGTTTGGAGGTGGTTGAGAAATTCAAGCAACTTCACGCGTGCCCCATTTACCAGCTACTACTAAAGCACGCCCTGGAGTCCGGTGAAACGCAAGACCTGCTGGCCAATGTTAATCTTCTGGGCGAGATGCTGGCCACCACCAACGAAAGCCAGCCGCCGTCCCTGTACGATGAACTTACCGCCCAGGTCTTTGCCCAGGTGAAAGTTTACTGTGGTGATGTGCCGACGGATGAGGAGGATGCCCAGGAGACGGAAGAAAATCCAGAGCAAGCGGCCGACAAGGTCTTGGTTAGCAATGTCCAGGGTATTAAGAATCTAGATCTCTTTGCCATATTTACCCTACCGGCGCAGCGGCGAATTGCAGAGCGAAAACGCCTGCGCAAGACAAAAAAGCCAATTCAATTGGCTAGCATTCTGAGCCGCTTGGAGCGATCCACTCCACTCCAGCTGAAGGCAGAGATACCAGAGGCACTGCGCGAAATTCTGCGAAAGAGACAGTGCATGGCGAATGAGTACGCGATGCGAGCGTATTACAAGGAGCTGCAGTTAGGCGAGACTGTAAGATTCCTGCGGCATACGATGATGCTGGAGGCGTACTACCTACTCCTGCCCTACTACACCGCGCTCTTCTCGCGAATTGAGAATACCGAAAACTGGGCACGGGATTCAGTGCTCAGTTCCAAACTTTATCGGGTTCTATTGCCACACTACCCGGACCTGGCTGACAACCTCCATGTGAACGTAATATCCAAGGTGACCTGCAATTCAACAAAAGTCTACGAGGCCCTAGAGGCTCTTGAATTGGTATACGACATGCCAGTGGCCATGCAGGTCATCCTCACGGACAAACATATGCGAGGCTACAATTCTGTCTGGCGGCTGATGCTGAAGGTCAAGTGGGCCGTGTGGAAGCTGGAGAATCTCGTCTTCCTGCGTCGCCACAAGGGTAATCCGTATGCACCCTTGGATCTGCTGGGACTGACAATTCGCCGCCTGGAGATCCTGCGCTTTTGGTTGATCTACCTCATCAACAGCCTGCACACGCACATTATGCAGGCGGTGGCTCAGCAGTTTGAGCTTCGGATTGCTCAGTGCAAGAACATCCGACATTTGAGGACTCTGCACGACGAGTATCTGTCGTTGTTGAGGAAACATTGCATGCTGACCGACGAATTTCGAGACTTTCGCATCGCCCTCGATCAGCTCTTCCACCTGGTCTTCGTGCTGGACATGGAGTGGACCAGCTGCGCCTGCTATCTGGGCCAAAACGATGCGCTTTGCTTGGATTTCACCCTTTCGGATGACGGCATTGATGATGGCGAGTCGGAAAGGCGGGGCATGGAGTATTTGGCACTCAACCAGGTGGTGGAGATCGAGTTGACCTACATACGGTGCCACCAGACGCTGGCCGAGATACTCAACTCACTGGTGTACAAACACGACCACGGATTCCGTAAGTTTTTAGTGCTCCCCTGCTGATTATGGCTAAACAATCCCTTTATCTTGCAGTGACTGCTTTGGAAGTGGCCATCAACACGAGTGTTCCGCACTGAATTTGAATCTCCTCAAAGGATTTTGTTACGCATTGCCATACCAATCATCCCATCCAAACATTCCCATACCCAGCCGAATAAAAAGAAGCTTATTTTTGTTGAAACCTCACTGGAATTCCTCATCGCTGTCAAAGAATGGCTCCACAACCGGGGGCACCGGGGTGGTGACCTCGTGGAGCGTGGGTCGCTGGATGTACGGCTGGCAGATGATCTCGCACATGCGGGCGTTGGCGAAGACCGTTCGGTGTGGGAAGCACCGACCGTTGACGTGCTCACAGCGTCGGAAGCCATTGGATCGATTGAAGACGTACAGCTCAGCGCATGGCGAGCAGTTGGTCTGGCCCATCATCCGCGGCATCAGGCACTGGAACCGCCGCTCGTTGGAGTGGATGCCCAGGGTCATGTGGTGTATGGCGGTGGTCAGGACGATGACCAACAGGCTGCACCAACGCACCTGTTGCGGCTGCATGTCCACTTAATCTCCAATTCCCCAGTGGTTGTTTTCATTCGATTGGCTTTGCCCTTTTACGGTTCGTGTCATGGTAGTTTTGGCAATTGATACGCTTAATTCATGAATAAATGTTTTTTTTTCCCCCTTTTTGGAGCTGTTTTCGCAAGAGTAAGTTTGAAACTTAGAATTTTTATTTATTTTTGTAGCCAATTTAATTATGAATTATAATTTTCAAAAGTGTAAGACTAATCAGTCCTTTTAAAAAAAAATTCGGCCAACAAACAAAATCACATAATTTTGAAAATTGTTTAACTTAATTCTCTTTTTATTTTTATACAAAAGATGTGTACAATATTTTGTACACTTTGGTTTACTAATCCACTGAAAAGTAGAAGTACTGGCGTAAATTGGCCCTAAACCAGTGAAAATTATCAAGAGCTGGTGTTCCTCGAACACTAATTTTTCAGACTTCGCAATAGAAATATATTAGAAATATTTGTGCTTTTTATTATATTTTATATTTATTTAAAAAATTTAAAATTAAAATCTAAATCAGTAATTTCCAGACTGTTGTAGACTAATTAGCGGAGTGAGCAACCATTTTGCATAGACAAATGCAGTTTTAAATTTTGAGGAAATCCCGCCCACCCAAAAACCCCTAAAATACAAAACTATGGGGGTGCAACCAAAATCATAATAGTTTTGAAGTCATTTTAGGTGTTTAAAAGTATGCAGTGAATAATAGACAGTTGTCTTTTTGAATGTATTCATCGTACTTCTGAGTTTCAAATATATTGTTGCATACTTTTAGACCCCTAAAATTACATATAAAATGTGTTTTTAAAACTGATGTGATATTTGTGGCGTACCAGATTTTCTCAATTTGAAGGAGTTCAATCAAGTATCTTCAATTTTCAAAAATAATTAATATTTTTCATCATCTCAATTGGAAATGTGATTATAAAACCAAAACTTTTCGCAAGGACCTTTTTGAGTGCGAAAGCAGGCAGCTTAAGTCCAGCTACCGGCAGGATTTCCCTGGACTCGCAGCACTCAGGATTGAATCGTCCTTTCCAGCTGATTACGTTACCAAGACAACCGACGAAAAGTACAACAGACAAAAGAGCTTGAAGTCGCAAATTTTTAGTCGACCATTCCCAACCGAATCTGGAGTACAAGGACACCAAAAATCTATAACTAAGCATTAGAAATCCTTATAAAATGGCTTACTCCGTCTCCCCGCACCGGGCGAACCTGGTGCTGCAGATGCTCCTCCAGGCCAATACCTATGTGTCCATGGTCTGGGGCATGAGCTATCTGATCCACCTTCTCATCCGCGTGAGTGTACATTTAGGAGTGCCCTTCTCTGCCAATCCACAATAACCCAATGTGCCATTGCCCTGTAGCTGAATCACTTGTGGAATTTGGAGGGCCTGTCCATGCTGGTGGCCTACATCCTAGCCGTATCCGCTGAGTCCGTACGCCTGTACGCCGGCTACTCTGTGAACCTCTGCTCCGGGGCCACCGCCATGTGGTTGCTGCTCACAGTGACGCCCTGCATCCTGCTGCCCGCCATGGTCTTTCTCCGTCTCACAGCTGCCGGACGCAGTTTGTGGCTTCGCATCATCACGAATGCCGTGTTTGGACTGATGGCCCTGGAGGTAATCGTATCCGTGGTTCACTTTGTGATATGCAAGCCAGGCCAAAAGAGGTCGATGACCCAGACCGCCGAGGAGGATGAGTATCTGCCCGAGGAGCAGCCATCCGCCGTGGGATCGCCCACGTCCAGTGAGCAAAAGCGACGCGTGCGTCGATCCCCGGAGTCAAAGTGAGGCGACAAACAGCGGTTGTATAGTAAGGCTCTGAGGTTTACTTGGACATTGGCATAAATAATAAAGTAGGATAAGCTATTTAAGCTAAGCTAAGCTAGGGAACAGTGCGATCGCCAAAGATCACACCTTCCGGGCATCGTCCAGATTGTGCGCCTTCAGCAGGGCATCGATTGCGTCCAGATGGGCACGCATCGTGGGCAGGAAGCTGGTCAGCACCTCGATATTCTCCACCTGTGCGGGCCCCTGGCCCAGTAACTGACTGCGCGTGGGCACCCAACTGTAGATGATCTGCAAGGAGGCGGAAACAGTTCGTCACAAGGAATGGTAGCACAAAACAACATGTGCACCCACCTTAATTGTGCTCTGGACAATGAAGCCGTGATAGGGCTTTAGGGTGCGCTCGTAGGCGTCCTGCAGGTGCTGCTTCAGTGCCTCCTTGGCCTGGGAATCGTTGTAGATGTTCTCGAAGAAGGTGCAAATGAGCTGGAGGCCGCGCTTCAACCAGAGCAGCGCGTTGGCCGCAAAATCGTCCACATTCACATTCAGCACAATCAAATCCTCCAGATATTGGTACTTCAAAACATCCGCACCATAGGCTTTCGTCAGTTTCTGAAACAAAAAACGAAATTTATTACTAAGATACTTCATTAAGACTAAAAGAAAACTAATTGGATAACAATAAACTGTTTCCAATTATAATAACATATTTAAAATAACATTTAAGAACTCAAACTTCTTGAATTTATAAGACTTAGGTGCTTTCAAGAAAACAATTTTCGCTCGAAGATTAAGTCTCTTTAAAAAAAATACCAAGCCTAATCTTTCAAAATTTCATGGACAACAGAAACGAAATATATTATTGAGATATTTCATTAAGACTAAAATAAACTAATTGGGAAACAATTAACTAATTCCAATTATAAAAATATATTCAAAAATGCAATTAAGAAAACGAACTTCTTGAATTGATAAGACTTAGGTGTATTCAAGAAAACAATTTTCGCTTGGTGATTAAATCTCATTAAAAAATTAGTCTAATCTTTCGAAATTTCATGGACAAAAGATATCGCGTTTTTTTTTTAAGAATATATACATATATATTCTGTCTAACATAACAAAAAATGTAGTGTTGCTCAATATTTCACACATAAATTTAAAAGTAACGACTGAAGATAACTTAGTATTAGAAATTACATGCATTAGAGAGTACATACATTTTAAACCTGGTCTCAAAAACATTTTGGAAATATTCGAGTTATAAAAATTTAAATCTTAGATCAGGTTGGAAATACGATTGTGACCATTGCTATAAATGTATACTTCAATTAAATAAATAAATATTTGTAAAATAAGTTAAACAACTATTTGTTTGGATTTAAACATAAAAGACTAGGGAAGTTTTAGCTAAGGAAACAAACTTTCCACCTAAACCTAAACTAGAACTCTTGCACAATATGAGATCAACCATGATCATGATCTTGAAAGCTTAATAACTTGGTTCGTAGTTCCGGGTGATCTTACGTTTATGTTTCCGTTCATGTCGCTGATCACGGGCGTAAATAGTTTGCCGAAGCTCTCTGGAAAGTATGTAAAACAAATAGGTATAATGAGTATACGTGGGTACATCGATTGGTCGGGTGCGTCGTTATCACCTATCACGGTTACTATCTCCTTGGAGGCGGCGAGGAAGGCCTGTGTCTCCAGCTTATCAGTGCTGATTGCCGGAAAACCCTTCAGTGCCTTGAACTGAATTCTCGCGGATCCCTCGGTGGCTGCCATTGTGTGCTCCTATTCTGATATTTTTGTTCCGACCCAACGGCGATCCAAGCGAAGACTGGCCACAAATCTGCAAATGAAGGTGCGAAAATGGTTAGTTTTCGAACACGAATATCGGGTGTTTATCTTATCGCGGGGGCCAGCCGACGTTGAATATTATTATTTTTGTATTTTCGTATTTTCGCTTTTCAATTGTCGTCGCTATCGAACGACGTTCTCTGCCGCTGCTGCGATAATGGAGAGTGAAATACAAGTGGAATACTAGTTTGCCTGGCCCCCAAGATTCAATTGCGGAGGTGGAGGGGATGGGGTCTGGGTCGGAGCTTTAACCCATTTGACTTAGCTCCAATCCAATCCACTGAGAGCCACTGAGCGAAAGAGCGCCCGATTCGATGAAACTAACGCAACAGCAGTTGGCAAAAACCTGATTCGATCGCAGCTACTGTGCACAGTGGGCAAAAGGCCTACAAAAGTCCTCAAAAACAGCAGCTTGAGCTTGCGCTATGTTTGAAAAATTATTTAATAATATTTGCAATTTAATAAAATTAACGTTGAATTTTTTTTAATTTGTAATTTTTTTTTTAATTGATCTTTGTCACTGCCTTTCAACATCAAAAGTTTTTTAGGATCAAAAAATTCTTTCTATAAAAATTTATTTTTAAACCCAGTTTTGAATACTTTTTATTTTTAAAGTTAGTTATTTCAATCTAAAAAAATTTTAAACATTTTTTTGAATTCTTAGGAATTTTTTTTTAAATAAATAATTTTTTATAATTTCGGACCATTTTTTGAATTGTATATATAAATATAAACAAAATTACATAATTAATTTGTGGAAAACTATAAAAGCAAATATTCGCAATGCTAAAATTTTTTAAACTAAATTATATATATAATTTATAACAAGAAAACATTTAACAGAAACAACATTAACCTATCAAATTACACGTATTTCTTGAAAACCCAAGTGATAACGTTATCAGTACTTCAAAAATTCAATACATTTATGACATTTTTTGCGCTAATCTTTATAAACTGGTGTTTCTTGTTCACATTGGCACCATTGTAAACATTTGATTTTGGAAAACTAACAACTGAAACTGAACGTCACCAAGAAGTTGGTAATAAAGGTGTGAGTCAGGGATGGTAGGTGGGTTTTATCAGGTAATTTGTTTAGGTGGCGGGGAAATCTATTCGGCAGAATGTTTATCAGCTTAATTGACTATACCTTAATTGGATCGATTTCAAACAAAACAAAAGGTTCGTATCTTCCTACGACTTTTAAATTATGTTTGAGCGTACGTAATATTGATATGGTGGTAAAAGTTATTATGGCCTTGTATAGGGTGTTACGGTTTGGCAAAAAAATTCTGTACTTAAAAATTTGCACAAAAGGGAGAGGTTGGAAAACTTTTGTAAAACAAAAAAAAATGTTATAGGTTTATTTTCTGGGAGTTATAAAATCTTTAAATTTTAATAAAGTGCGAAATTTGTAGTTCACTGCACTTACTTAAAATACGAATTCTATAAACATCCTTGTAGATGGTGACTCAGTGTGGCAGCTAAATCAATATATGGTATATTGCGACAGCGATAGGTGACTCACCTGGTTGGATTAATAGGACTAGGACTGCTGCTTCTCCAACTGCTCCGTCTTTTGCAATTCTAGGAGTCGCAGGAAAGCCGCTTGGTATCGCCACTGGTGGTCAGGACGAAAACGTAGTGGGTGCGCTGCTCGGCGAGGAGATGCCACAGGGATGCGGGCAGCTGAAAGCGGTGCACGGACTCGGCCGCCTCCTCAAACTCCTCGTAGTGGGCCACCAGACTGTTCTGATTGCAGCGCAGCTCAACCAGCCGTATGGGCCTGCTGGACAGGATCTCCCTGGTGGCCTGATTTAGCTGGATTTCGAGGGGCTCAAAGCTTTCGGCGGCTGTCTCCTCCAGTTCCAGGTTGAGCCAGCGATGATGGGCTAGTATGACGGCGCAATTGCGGGCAAAATAGAAGCTATCGTGGCGCCTCTGATTGTGATAGTTGTCCAGCAGTTGGCTGCTGTTCTGCAGTTTCAGTTTGGTGAAGCGGGTTCTATTCCCGGAGGAGGAGGATGAGGATCCCGATCCCGAACCACCCTCAGCTCCTGCTGCTGCTCTCCTGGCCTCCACAATCCTTTGGGGCAAGTGCTCCGTGGGCTGGTCCACGGTCAAGACTCGATTGAGATAGTCGAAGCCCTGACCCATCACCCCCTCGGTGGTGTGGCCCAGATCGAAGCAGTGGCCCAGCTCGTGGCAGACGGCGCCCAGAGTGCTGGCATAGACGCCGCCGTACGTCCGCCTGTAGTTGCTCTCGTCCGGCAGTCGGGCGATGTCCACACGCTCCGAGCTCCTCACACAGTCGCCGATCTCCGCGAAGCTCCGGGGCCAGGCGTAGAAGTGGGCGCTCCCAAAGAGGGCCAATCCACCGCCGCCGAGGGCAGCGTGTCCCTTCAGATGACGCCGGATATTGGCGTACGAGGAGTCACCACTGGCCGCCACTCCGTCGCCGTCGTAGCGCGTGCAACCCACAAAGGCCACGAACTTGAGGAGCAGCTGGTGGCCCCACTGCGGGCAGGCAATGATCTCGCCGGCGAAGTGCTGCCACAACTCGTCCTCGCTCCTGGACAGCGCCTGCTCGCGGGTCAACTGGCTGCGAAAGGAGCAGCACTGGCCGTTCAGGGTGAACGTGCGATTGGGAAAGCCGGCCGCCTGGAGTTTGTGGGCGTAAATTGACTGTACCAGGCGCAGATTGAGATCAATGAGGGAGTGCAGCTCGCGTTGGTGCTCCAGCGTCTTCTCCTCGTCCCGGCAGAGCAGGTAGAGCGGCTGCACCCGATAGGAACTACGGCGCGGTCGGTACCGAAAGCTGATCGAGCGGGCCGCAGTGCAGGATCGCAGTTCTAGAAGGCAGGAGCTTTCCTCGAGCGGATCTTTGGGTTCCAAGTCGAAGAGCAGCTTGAACTCGCCGCCGGCCGACAGCTGAGTCAGCTGCTCGCGGGACAGGCGCTCGGGCAGATCGAGGATGGCCTTCAGCTGCCGCGCGGAGGAGCACTTGGGCGAGAGGCGTCCCTTGACCAGGAGCAGACCGTGCTCCACGCACTCCGCCTCCAGCGGCTGCTCAACCTCGATGCTGTGCGCGCGCTTGCAGCCGGCGGTGCCGCTGCTCATTGCCAATCCTCGCCAGAATCTCCGTTTTTCAGGTTTCCGTCTCTTATTGCG